TGGCGCAGGTGAGGGGAGGGGGAAAGCCCGGCGGTGCGGATGGGCTGAGTCATGGCGTGGGGCGCGCTAGGCCGCGCTCGGGGAGGCGGCCCGGTGGCGAGGGGACATGCGGCGCGACCTGCAGCCACCTCTCGTCACCCGATCCGGTGCTGAGGGATCCGGGGCTCGGGCCCTCCCGTGCCATGCTGGGGAAGAGGGGAAGTAGGGGCTGCTGTATCGTTTCATTGGCAGCGAGTGGAAGGAGGGGCAGGAGGGCGGTGAGAGAGGCGAGAGGAGATGTCGGGGTGCAGCCTGGCGAGTAAGGGGATGGGAAGGCCCGAGCCCACCAGAAGGGATGTGGCTTCTCCCTGCTGCCACTTTCCGCGGGCAGCGCGGCTGGGCAGACACGTAGGTGCTTGTTCATTCTGGGACTGCTGTGTGCCCAAGCTGCCTTCGTGTAATTGATCCGGTGTCAGGCTGGACAGGCAGCGCTTTGCGTCCTTCTACCTCGGGTGTGTACGTGCCGCAAAAGACTGTACTGGAGGGCCAGAGCCATGGCAGGCCGATGGGCTGCCTGGCATCTGCTGAGCGAACATCTGTGTGCGCCCAGCCGTAGGCGACCACAGATTGTCTTGCTGATGGGATCATAGAGATAGTCACACCTATGGTGTACCCTAAGGATTTTTTATGGACTTGTTCTGTAACGTAGAGATTCTTACACATCTCAGACCTCAGAACAGACAGATTGGATTTGCTGTTATGTTCCATCCCAGTAGGATGGCATCTGATTCTTTACATGCTGCAAATGCTCCCCTTGATCCACGTGTCTCGTTGTGATAAACATGTTGTACTATATTGCATATTATAGGTAATAGCCTTAAGATAAGTAAATTGCATCTTACGCTATCTTAAGACTGTATTATATGGAGAGTAGGCACAGGTGTTTTATCCCACAGGCACAGCTCGGCATAGGTATGGACACCATGACCATGTTTCATTGCCGCGTAACATGTAAATTTTGTGGCAGTAAGAGCACGTCCTTGACAAACCATTGTACATAGTTTGAATATTTCAGTACAGTAGGTACACTTCAGAAACAAATTTAATTCTTTTTGTTACTGATTTTCTAGTTTCTAACTTTTTTGCAGCCCCACAATTGCCATAGGCTGTAACAATTTCTCCCATACTAACATTTTTTTACAAGATACTTGCTAGGAATTACAACTTAGGACTGAAAGTACATTGTGGTATCTTTAACTCCTCCAAGCAAAGGCAAATATAGTTTTCAAAACTCAAAAAGCAGGACTACTGTAATTCCATGATTAGGTTGTAAGGCATGTAGTTTATGCTTTCTATAATATGTAATTAAGATATGATGAATGTGGATGAACCTAATAGTAAACCAATTTTTTGGCCAAGGTATCTAACTGCATATCTGTTCTCACTTAAAGCTTTCTTTTGGCGAGGAAGGAAATCAGTCATTCATCTAGCTCAATGTACGTGAGCTAAACAAACGTGTCTGAAACTTGCTAGGTTTCTCACTCAAGACAGACAATTTAGAGCATGTATTGGGCAAAATGGAACTAGTACCTTTGCAGTTTAATCTATGTCTAGAACCATAAATTTAAAGTTAACTATGTATGTTTCTTTTTTTAAGAAGTAAAATACTTAAAAAATAAGTGTACAGGCTAGTTATATGTGTTTTACTTACATGAGAATTAGAGCTTCTCTCAATTTAAATAGAGTTGTATTCTTCACTCATGGTGATAATTCTTTGCCTGTCGTATTAGGAAGGAAGATTGCAAGAAGTAATTGAAAACCTTCTCTCATTGGAAAAACAAACACGAACGGTAAGTACCATACGATGTGCAACATTTATGCTGGGTTGTCCTCCACACCCCCTTACTCCACTGCATAAAGTCGTGAAGGGAATTGGAGTATCAGTCTGTCTTTCTCTTTTGCTGTTCTTTTCTTTAAAAAGAAAATCAGTAAGGCTAGATATAATCAGTTTTTTACCCTTTGTATAATAGAAGTGCAAGTGATAAAGGTTTGCAAGTTGTTGATCCCATCACTAATATGTTGGTTGGTTGTTTGTTACAGGCATCTGACATGGTCTCCACATCCCGTATCTTAGTTGCCATAGTGAAAATGTGTTACGAAGCTAAAGATTGGGACGCTCTTAATGAAAATATTATTCTTCTATCAAAGAGAAGAAGTCAGTTAAAACAGGTGAATTTAATCCTTTGAAAATAAAATTGTATTTGGAGCTGTATTATGTATCTGATTCCTCCTTGTGCATAGGGACTTTCCTGACTTTGTAGCACCTGCCTGACTATATTGTTACTAGCATCTGCTGCTGTTTTTTGGTAGACATTTAAAAGCTAATAATGAAACTGATATCTGGAATTGGTCCGTCTTCACCTTATGCCCAAGCTCCGTGTGGTCCAGCTTGCCATTCTTGGCAGCACAGCTGTGACATTTCTGCTTTTGTGCATACCGGTGCTTTCAGATGGTAGTTCATCTTTACACTTCTCTACGGTCTGTATTGTAGACATATTCTTAATCTTTCATGTTCACATGAGGTAAACATTAAACACAGTTGTTGCCATTTATTGTGATCAAATAAAATGTATGCTTTACATGCCTCCTTTTGAAAGTGTCATACTCTGGAATTTAGTTCTGTCTGAGAAATCTTCTGTCAGGATAGCTGAAGGCTTTTGCATTTAAGAAGATGCAAAGTTTATTGCACTGTGTGTTTAGTTTGACTTAATTAGAAGTCTGCAGCAGGTAATTTTAATGGCATCATTGCTTTAGGAAGAAAAAGGTTACCTACTTTTTAATATGCAGAAACTTTAGGAGTTTGTATGGGAGTATAGTTTAGTTCTCTAACTTGCATGAACTGTGGCTGAAGACTTGGATCATTTCAGCTGAATTTTTCCCCTTGAGGAAGAAGTTTCCAGAAGTTTCATTCTGGTGGGTTGTTTTTTTTTTAATTCTTTTTTGTTTTTAGAAGTATGTATATTAACAATAATCGTAACACCTTTGTTAGCATCATTACCAGAACAACATATTCCGATACCTGTGCTTGCCACTGAAGGATGCTAGCTTAGTAGTGCCTGTTTGGCAATATGCAGAGATGGGAAAGCATCAGTCAGAAATAATTGCCCCTCTTCCTTCTGAAAAATCTACAGGTGTCCTAAAGAGAAGGGCTAGTGCTCACACTTAAGAAGATACACCTTCCTTTAACCATGCAGGTCTTAGGGCAAACAGGTAAGTTTTGTCAGTCCATGTGAGAGTCGTGTGGATTTGGCAGAAGAGGAGTACTAGTTTTCAAGAGAGAAACGCACGGGATTAATTATTTTGAATATAATTGGAAAAACTGAGCTGAAAGAAATGACAGAACAGCATCACATTTGACTTCTAGCATCAGTCGCTAGCATCATTTTACACATTTTTATGAATCAAAGTGATGAGATACATCTTGCATGCTTTTTGTTGAAATGAGTCTCTTTAGTTTGATATGAAACTATTTAGTACTTAACTCTGAGTGTTACAGTTTGAATGCATTTGCGAAATCTAAAAACATGGTATGTTCTTCTTTTCTGTTATTGTACTAGGCAGTTGCTAAAATGGTCCAGCAGTGCTGCACTTACGTTGAAGACATCACAGACTTACCAGTCAAACTGCGCTTAATTGACACGTTGCGTATGGTTACAGAAGGAAAAGTAAGATTTTGTTTTAAGACTGAATGTCTAAAAGGTAGAATAAAAATGTTCACCTCTTTTAAAAGCATAGCTTCTTAACGTTATTTTTTAATCTTGTTCAAAATTTGAGTGATGATCCTAAAGATCTTTTCCAACCTTAATGATTCTGTGAAATACGAGCGAAAGTAATTTTGAAATTAACTTGAGAAGCCAAGTAGTGTATTTCTTCCCAAAAGATTGCAAATATTTTTCCAGTTTCATATTTAAATAATTTGCTGAAACGCTGGTCATATTTCCATAATGTAGATATTTGGATGTATTATTGATATGATTAATAATACATTTCAGAGTTTTAAAATGCCATTTATTTTTCACTTTTTAAAACGTTATGTATTTGAATTTCTTAGAGAAATGGGCAGGTTTAGTTTAATTTCTCCTGCACTTAGCAAGGTGTTACATACAGTTACGGTAACCAGAAGGTGATATCAAAGCATAATACCAAGTTAATTATTTACATGATATTCCTTTTTCTTTAGGAAAATAAACAATTCTGGATTAAGGCAAATTTGTATTAATGTTACGGCTTTTGCCTGTTCAAAGTTAGTCTGAATTGTTAGTAATCAAGTACTGTTGCTTTCTGGCTGGTTAGGAGTAAGGGAAATAATGCAAACAGCAGTACTTAGTACACATTCATTAAAGTCTTAACTTCATTTTTAGATTAATTTGGTCCAAATACTTCTGGTGTATCAACTATCCATTGTATTTTATCTGTGTGTGTCGTAGATAGTATCAGTACAGTGTATGGATACACAAGGAATTAATTGGTTGTATGAAAACATCAAATATATGTCTTAGTGGGGTTGTGGTCTTAGAGTTTGCACTCTTCAGAAAATTCCAATGTTTAAACTACTGCTACTGATTTCAGATATATGTGGAAATTGAACGTGCTCGCCTGACAAAGACACTTGCAACAATAAAAGAACAGAATGGTGAAGTGAAAGAGGCTGCCTCTATTCTGCAAGAATTGCAGGTAACACACCACGTTACTCAAAATTGCGTCAGCAGTAAAAATTAATTCTGACTGCTCTTAGATTATCATTTAGAAACTTAATCAGGTACATCTGAAGAAATGCCTGGAATGAGATTAACTGTTATTAGTGAAAGGGTAATTCAGTTTTAACTGCTTTTGTTAGTCTCATGGTTAGGTTACATAGAATATTTCCCATTTGGAAAAAAGATTTCAATTCTCTAGGTAGCGCACTGAGTTTAGTGGATTCTTCTGGTGTAAGTGGGGGTTACAATTTAAAATTGAATAACCTTTTCTCCGTTTTCACTTGCGCTGGAATAGCTGTGTTTTTCTGTTTTGTTTTGTTCCCGCCCCCCCCAAAAAATGCACAGTTGAGACTTCACTTGATTTGACTTTGACAGTGTTAAATAGTTACATTTTCATTTTAGGTGGAAACGTATGGTTCAATGGAAAAGAAAGAACGTGTAGAATTTATCCTGGAGCAGATGAGACTCTGTCTAGCTGTAAAAGACTATATTCGGACTCAAATTATCAGCAAAAAAATTAATACAAAATTTTTTCAAGAAGAAAACACAGAAGTAAGTCATTAGAGGATTTCTCCCCCTCCAATTTTAATCTGACATTCCTCTGTTCAGGTCCAAGTGTATTTGAATCCCTCTCTTTTCTGGGATCCAGTTGGATTTCATTTACATGATTTATTAATTAATTTTACTGTTTAATACTGTTTCAGAAACTAAAGTTGAAATACTACAACTTAATGATCCAGCTGGATCAACATGAAGGCTCCTATCTCTCCATCTGTAAGCACTACAGAGCCATTTATGACACACCATGTATCCAGGCTGAAAGTGAAAAGTGGCAGCAGGTAAAAAAACATTACATACAAAATGTCTGTATTTTCATGTGGCAAATATCCATTTCATTACCAGATCAATTTACAGCAAATAAAATTGCTTATTGGTCTGTGGTTCTTATTTTTTTAAATGGCCATATTAACAAAATGGTTTGTTGAAAACAGATATGATAAAGTTGATTTAAAATTAATATTTATAACTAAGATCTTCATTATATTGTCTTTGAAATCTTGAAAATGCCTGTTTTATGCAAGTGCAGAAATTAGAAACAGCTGTGCAAGGGTGGTCTAAATGATACTGTTGTAACATCTGTACTGCATACACATATTTGTAAATAGTTTTTTTCATGTATTTATTTTAAATACTTCAATTTTAGTTAACCTGAATTCAATTTAAATGTGTCACTGTGGGATGAGGGTTCATTTCTGCAAGATGACATCAGTTTCACCTTAATTTTTCAATATGCCAGGCTTAAGCCTTTTACATGTTAAACTCTAAGCTCTGTGAGCAGTGTTTTCAATTCCTCTGTTTAATTATGGGAAAAAAACACACTCTTATGAAGAGCGTTGTTCTTTATGTTATTCTTTCACCTTATGACAATGAACAATCTGATCTGGTGCACAGAATTAGTAGTGACAAAAAGCTAGAAGAAATCCCAAAGTATAAGTAAGTATTCTTTCTAACAAACAATTCTTAGGTTAAAACAAAAAGTGTGTCTCTCAAACTAACTAGCAAGTGAAATCTGTTTATGCTGTCTGCTGTACGAATCTCCCAATTAAATGCTGTATGAAAAATACTGCAAAATTTTCATGATTGTGCATGTTCTACAGTAAAATAAATGTCTCTTTATGAGAAGGATCTTTATTAGAAACACAGTCTGACTTGAGCTGTCCCTGATAATGTGAAGTATTGAGTATATTAATGAATAACAATGAATATTAATGGTGATAAACTTAAAACATTTAAAATTATTTCTTTGATCTATTTAAGTATGAAATGAGCCTTATTAATACAGGACTGTAAATCAACTTTACTAAACCATTTAGAGACCTCCTAAAACTATTTACCACCATGGAATTGATGCGATGGACTGCCCTAGTTGAAGAATATGGGAAAGAATTGAGAGAAGGATCCCTTGACAGTCCTGCAACAGATGTTTTTGGCTGTACAGAGGAAGGTGAAAAGAGATGGAAAGATTTAAAGAATAGAGTTGTGGAACATGTAAGTATGGCTGTCTTTAAGCATTAGCCGTGTATTCAGTGCCTCAACTGAAAATGCTTTTCACTTGCCATATTTTAGTTACAAAGAATCCAAAAAGCGTGTTGTAAAGCAGCAGATAAGTTGCCTTTTCCATTGTGTTATGTTTTCAACATTTTATTTGCTCGTGTATCTTTATTATAGATAGTTATTATATATTATTATTAATATTA